AGACAACCATATAATTTCACCATAAACCAAATTTACGTTATTTAAATGATACTTATCCATGGCTATACAATTGGTGTGTCCTACACAGGCAGAAAAAATATGTATCTCATTATATTATTACTACTAAATATGTTTACTAATCGTATATGTAATTTATCATATTGATGATGCCTGTAAACTGGCGTCCCTCGTGTACAAAATGAGAATATATTATTATTATATTGCTTCAAACGAGATATATTGAACAATTCAGTTCACTGCACGTTATCATTACGCGCTGCAAACAACTAAATAAGTATGGGAATATTTTTCGGAAAGTCTAAATTAACAACACTTCTAGCATGGTTTAGACAGTGGTTATGAAGCCATTTGACATGAAGTGTGCACGTGACACACCACACTACTTGGAATCGGACTACATGATATTACTTAGAGTCTTTCCTATTATGATATCATTTCCATGGAGTGAGGCATATATGGACACAAGTTACCAAAGTGTCTTTGAAGGAGTTTCAATTATTCTGAAATTTCCGCGGATGATAGCTGGGGCACGTAAGCAAGGAGGAGTAATCTGTTAATTTTGAAAAACTCACTCGATGATGTAATCACGATTTACTGCACGCGTAAAGTTATCTGTTATGACTGGGTGGAGAAAATAATGCCTGCATAGTTATCGGTGGATATGAAAACCTTACTCCCTAAAACTTCTTGAAACCGTTTGCGCAACTCAATTCTCTCACGATTCGGAAAACAAACTCGCGTTAGTGAATCTCGGGAGGGCTCATCCGAATGAAAGTCTGCCATCTTCCCACAGGATATGAGTAAATGAAAGATTCAGCTGCGACCTCACATACCTAAAATTAATACGCACAAGATTCACAACTCCTCAGTTAAAGAATGCTTACATATTTCCCACGGCATTAGTGATAATATATTTATTCTTATCTATGTGGGACACACCAGTTTTACAGGTGTGGATAAGTAATATTTAAATTACACAAATTTTATTTATGGCGAAATTACATGGTTGCTATCCTTTTTGTCTTTGTGGGTACACTCTGCTTACTAGTCATTCAATGGAGCCCACCAAGAGATATTGGAATATTGTCTTCGCGTTAACAAACATTCCCAAGTATGTGTTGGATACATTACAAATATATGGGAAAAAATAAAGCTTGAAGTCAATTCCTCCGTACAACCTTGTTGTGTACGGCATCGTATCTTATTCTTGGTTTATGTACAAATTGGGTATTAATATGAAATGAGTGATTTATTTGTGTAATTTTGTCAGTATTTTTATCGTAGTATATAACACGTTGCAAAATTATCCAAAAGAAGATGAGGGGCTTCCAGACTTAGACCTTAAGTAAACATAATACAGTTTGTCTTAAGATTTGTTCCTCATTCTGAGGTCTCGTTTCCGATGCCTACCTCCCAAAGTGAACTTGAAAGCGACTCACGTGCAGCTGTATCTCCCACCTCCATCCGTTTATTCTGAATGTAAAAGTAATTTGTTATAGAGGGATTTGTAGTTTTCTGATTCTTTGGATGCCTTCCAATATGTTCGCATCCTCCTTTGAGCTGGAGAGACAACTCCTTCACTAAATCTCGTGAAAGCTCTGACCCACACCGCTACCCACGATAAACTTCTGAAACGAGCTTCGTTAAACAGAAGTACCTGTCAGAATTAGTTGACAAGAAAGATTATTAGACTACGTAATTGACAAATATTAACTTACAAAATATTAATTAAACAACTTGTACCAAAGAAATGCATAGGGACCCGTAGTCATCGAAAGCCTCCGTGGCAGCTGACTAATCTCAACATGGTATGCGAAGCAACAAGCCTTTTGGCTGTTGTCAGTGTAGTTGAAGATTGAACGATCAATTCATGGTTGTTTGCTCAAAACCAACTTCCCCAATTTTCGCGGAGGCATCAATACGACAGTCATCGTCTCATCGGTCGCTGTTCAGAAAGAAGTCAGACCAAAACTGTCAGGAGTAATATTTATTTTATTTTTATTTTTATTTTTTGATTTACAGCTTGATTCCACACCGTATTTTTGGTACAAGTATGGAATTTTCAGCATGGATATCGGTAGCCCAAATTATGCAGGCCGACCATAGATATCAGGTGTGCGCCGGTGTGGGCTCGAACCTCGGACCATGTGCATGGTCGGCGAGAGTCCTAACCACTGTGCCACCGACGCAATTATTGTAATATTTGTTCACAGACCTTATTTGCAACATTGTTTATATGTTGGTGTAACAATAAAGAATCCTCGAGTCAAAAATTGGTGTCTTGGTTTTTTCGTCCGTTATTACTAAGCGTTTCTGAGAAACTTCAAGGAACAGCGTGAGCCCGAGCGTAGCGAGAGCTGGGCATTAACGGTTTACGAGACGTGGCTGACAGCTGTTAACAAGGCATTAAAGCACCGTTAGAACGTTCATTTGGGATCACCAAAGTACTTTGCAAAGCACTCATCACAGAGCCGCGCAATACGACAGTAATTACCTGAGGAAAATCAAATATTCGACTGACTACCACTGTCCCAATCAAAGAAAGATTCAGAAAAGAAAGCGTTGTAAAGTTAGGGTGTGATCCTAGCTGTAAATCACACCTCATTTGAAATACAGGGTGTCGTGAGGAACAGCATCTTTAAAATATGAAGGAGACATACTGGAAAGAACGCGAAGATTGGGGAGTAAATTTATCAGGGGGTCCGCAAACCCGTCATATAAGGGGAGACTGGATCGATGAGATTATCTGCAACTCTCATATTGGCGGTTGAGGTGTAACTTCACTGAAGCTTTCCATAATTCATGAAGTGGCTTGGATGCTAATCTATCTTGCACCTCTCTTCCATCTGGAAGCGTCGAGGGAAATATGCTAAAACTGTCGTAGTTATGTGGGGAGGCCATATGCGGTTACACGCTTGAGGCATAAACATTTAGGCACATTCAGTCCTGAGCTCTTTCTGTAACTGAACAAAGTCCATGTAGGACCACACCTTGAAGTGCGTAGTGTCACTGGTCGCGCCTGTGTTATCTGCAGGAGGCACCAGTCTTTCACACAGGGTCCAAAGACGGATGGCAGATGGAGTTATGTGTCTCTGGAATAAACTATATAACGAAAAACTGGGGAAATTTAGTCGTTTTAAAATTGGCTACGATCACTTTGTTGGCGATATTTAGGCTGATTTCCAGTCTGAAGATAAATCAGTGGTAAATATGTCGATTAGAAACAGACAAAGTTTTCAGCGGTCATTAGCGCAGTCTAACTCACGCATCTGTGGTGGCATTTTCTATTACACATTAGAAGGTGAAAGATGCTCCGCAGTTCCGGTGATAGAATATTCGTTGAAGTAGGGTGGGTTCGGGAAAGTTATCCCCCTGAGAATGCTGTTCCCGTTATCAGCCGGCAGCGGTGATTAGCATGTTTGTCCAGCTTGACGTCTCATTTGCAGTTTAGATGTAATCAGAAACAGCAAGGGTTTACTTGATTACTGTCAACAAGATTACAGGTGACCCAAATCAATCAAGTTAGGGTTTTCCCTCGTGATGACCTCGGAGGACCAGAGTGGACAAGAACTCCAGTACACTGACTTTTCTTTTCCCTTATAGTTTACCCCCTGTGACACACACTGGTTGCTGTGCCTACTGCACATTCAGTGCAAATCTTTAACCGGAGGTTGGTTAATAATGCAGAAACAGGAGAATTGTGTCAAAATGAACTGTTCGCTTAAGACTCGCACACCCCATCTTATTAATAACGCCATCTAAACTCTTCCTTTAATCCTGTCTATTCCTCCTTGTCGGGTATTTTTTATTTTCTACTATTTCGACCACGCCAGAAAACTAGAGGGTTAAGTGATTAATTCTACACACAGCAGCACAATTTAAGCTCACCATATAATGCAAACTATATACAACCACCCCCCGTGGATTCAAACAAAACTAAGACCATCGAGTGATGGGCCACACTGCACAGAAGTTTGTCAAGGATCAGGAATCTTCACCTTGTAACCAAGAATCAAGTCCGAAGTGTTCAGTCTGGTCTATTCAATCTGTCAAAAGAATACTGGATACTGGAGTTGGAAAGATATCCCGTACGGTTCGAAAAACGCTGACATTCCCCACCGGAGCACGCCCTATCAGCACTATCCGTTGTTTTGCCCAAATCAAGATTAGATCTTCACTGAACATCAGATATATGTAATGCGTATGGAAATAAAGCCGACTATTCCTAATAATCTGTGAACTCTAATCTACAAAAGTGATCCATATCACTAATGGATGCCATTGAATTTTTAAGCGGAAGCTAGACAGTCATGCAGAGATGCAAGGTTTGTGTCTCAATGGCTTATCCTCATAAAACTTAAAACCACACTGTCAATGGATAAGCGTACAAACTAAATCCCATGACCTGTTCTGCCTTCTCTCACTCTATCTTTACCTTAGGTCGCCTTTATTATTCCACTTATATCAACCTATATTATCTACACTACAACCTATTATTATTATTACTATTCTGCTTTTATGACTACACCGAATGACCAACGGGAGTTAGGTCAAACTCCATTCACGGCAGCAATACAGTCCTAACATACTGCATACTACAAACCACATCTTGACCGATCCCCGCACCACTCCTCTTGGGGTCTACCAGAGCTAAAGCAGTCGAGTGGCGGGACTTACTACGCAGAAGCTCACCGAAGATCTGGAACCTCTACCTCACAATCAAGAAGCGAGCTCAAAGAAATCACTGGTTTATACTGGCTCGTAATCAGGATATTGGATATTGAATTAATACCCAATTTAGGTGCTTTGTGAATACGCTTATTTTATTAACTTTTTCACGCCCAATACTATCGCTGGTATCACATCTTAAAAGCTGACAACTAGTTTAGTAGGTCCATCTGTGGATATTACGCTAATATAATGAACTTGCTGTGGCGCCCTTTTCGGAAGTAACTTAATGCGGTATTTTGGATGTGGTAATGGTTAGTTTCCTCGAATTTTTACTAGTGTTGCATCTCACTACCGGAAAATTTGTTAATTGCAGTTACCTAACATGATGACATTTTTCTCTTCCTCTCCATTATTAGGAGCGGCTTAAACATGATCAGTTTGTAAAATCTTCACAGTGCACAATCAGTTTCAATTCTCAGCTCGCAAGTCTGAAAGTAAAAGAAGACTAGAAATTATTGACTTTTGCTTTCTAGAGTTCTTTAGGGCTATGGGAAGATATGATAACGAAAACCTCAAAATTAAGTGCGTCGTTGAAGTAAGTCTAAATTCTGTTGTGCTTCACTTTTCTTCCAAAGAAACCTATTGACCTTAAGGTCTTTCCTTTAAGCGTTGCATTCCAAACAGTAATTAAGATGGCGAAAAATTTAATCCAAAGCCGATGCACTTACCTCATTAACTGTTTACAAGGATTTTCTTGTTTGACAAGAATGCAAATAGTTGCCGACTTGTGGTCGAGTCCCTAATTCTCCTTGGATAGCCGGTAGTTCACCCGTCTTACGCGGCTGCGTGAAGAAGAAATCTACTACTGAAGTACAGCACGCCCGCGAATATGTGTTCTTTTCGAATACCTCTCATGATAGAAAGACTGGTGTCAACTTCATTTGAGAAGTATATCTAGTGTGGTGCACTTTTAAATGTATCTCGTTCAACAATTGTTTATTGTAAAAGTGTAATTAGTATTGTAATGATGAAACTCTAAAGATATCCAGTCCTCTTAGATATGATTGTCATTTAGGACTAAAGATTTCTTAGTTGGTCATGACCCCATAGTCATGCTTCTCTTTCATATCCTAAGTTTCTTGTGAACAGTATCAGTGTTAACTTTGTTGTTAATCGTAACTGTGTGTGATTGTTATCTGTTTTATAACCGTTTGATGTTCGCTTGTTACACGATCGTCTTCAAAGTATTGCTGTATTGAGCCGTGTTTGATGAAAATAAGTCAAAAATTACTTTTCAGTCAATCATACATTGACTAATTCGTCCATTGTCGTTGTACGACGTCTAGCGTGATTGTGATGAAATACTTAAGTGCAATATGTTTCTTGGACCTTACTGGGTATTTACAGCCTCTTGTTTGTGTTTAGTTTGGAATGCGTCTTGTGGGCGATTGGTTGTCAGCGAAATTAGGTTCCTGTGTTAACAGAACGATTCTTGAAGTTTAGACATTATGTTTTAAGCAAGGACAGTTTTATCGGTTGCCTGCTTTTAAAGGCAGTTTTCCTAGTACGGCATTAGTTGATATCCTCCAGGAAGTCTCCATTCGTCAGCCTGTTCGACCCATGGTGTGGAAGTCCCATGAGTTTTGTGAATGGTTCTGCAGATTGCAAACTTGATCTTCAGCAAATTGGCACTGATTTTTTCTACAACTTTAATAGTCATCTGTTTCTAGTAGAAATTTGATTTGGGGGTGGAGGGCTTGTTTAATGTTATTTTAGTGGCACAACAATGTCATAAGCCACAATAAAAGAAGCCAGTTGTTAACTGTGCTTACATATGGAATATAAGTCTGAATTTTCATCATCGTTTGTACACTATAATACCAGTAAAGGAAACTACATCTCAAAAACTGAAGTCTCAAGAGGCGATGAACCAAATTCACCCTAAGATCCGGGACATTATTCACTTAAGAGACAAAGTGATGAAAAATCCAATGAGAGTTGACAGGATGTAAAGGTGATTGTAATGTCAGTTAGTGGTTAATGGAGACTTATGTATCAGTTGCTTTGCTGGTATTATTTCTCGGTGTGCTTGGTGTCTCCTTCTGGCTAATTTCAGTGGCTGACTGAAAATAAAACTGCAATCTATATGTTATTGAAATCCTACGGAGTGTTCTCTACCAAATGTTTGTCAATCAGTTTTACACTGGTTCTGATCTAAAAATTCAAAATAACTCTAACTACAAACTCCGTCCTAGAGTTGTATGCAATAATTCCACAATACCCACACTAAGTCTTTAGTTATCATGGTTGATGATTATAGATAGTTTTGAACAATTGTGAGGACTAATTTGTCAGTTGCTCAGTCGAATTCTCATAGTTTGAAGCCAGTTGGCTGGATTGAATTGTTGTGAAAATTCACTTTTCCACATTTACTGCCTGTGGCGGAACAGAAACTAGGTAGACGTTTCACATTGACGGGATGAATTCCAATTCTAGTGATGAGTGTTGTCTGTTGTAGAGGAACTCAAACCTTTTCATTCACGAGTTATAAACCAGCTATTTAAAGAAATGAAAGTCTATGATTTAAATTAGATCTTGTTTGTTTTAGTTAAGTACCGAATGGCTTCAGACTGTTGGTCATATAACTCGAAATCATTCTCAGTGGTGTAAATGCAAGTGGTGTTTCTAATCTCCCAGGTTGATTATGTTCTCATGTTCCTCCAAGTTATTATTCTTTCTCCTGTACATTTTTGCTCATCCTAGCTCTTTTGGATTTTCCTCCTCTCAACCGTTGTGTGTTATATAAAGTGAGGCACTGATCCGCTGAACTTCTGTGGAAATTTTTACGTTTAAACTCAGTTAGTTAGTTAGTGTTCCCTTCAGTGTCGTTTGGATAACTGTTTGGTGCTGAGCAGTATGAGTGTACACCATAGTTTGTAGTCTTGTGGATATAGATATATATGCACACCTATGGTAAAACATTTTCTATTCATAATTTTCATAGTCGTCATTTCGTTTTGTTGTTTTTCTCCAAAGAACTGTCATCCAATGTATTGGTGGATTCTTGGAAGCATTTCAAAAAATTGCAGATTGTGCTTACAGTAGTAATTGTGGTCTAAGAGAACTTGGCAGTTCAATGACTCGATTCTGTTTACGTGAACGTGGATTAGAGTCCAGGCTGCGTACATTTAATAGGTAATATTTTTTGATTCATTACTTCTAGAGATTGTTTATTTTTTGTATGCGTTTTCTAATTTGTTTAATTTGGAATGGTAATTCATTTGTATTTTAAACTTTAGAAATGAGTAGAAAAGAATTTTCATATTTGTTTCCTCCCATCAGTGTGGTGTTACTATACTTATCTGACGACACTTGTAGTCTGTATTTATTTGGTATAGATTTGTGCACCATTTTATTTTATGTTATTTATTTTGTTGTTTTTGGGTTTGTCAAAAGTGAACACTGCGTTGGTGGTTCAATGGTTGAATGCTTTGTCAACCACACAAGTAGTCCGGCTTCGATTCGTGTTCGTCACACTTCTAAACCTTGTCTAGTTTTCTAGTCAATAGTAGTGGCGTGTGGAAGAGAGAAAGTTGGGTGGGTGTGAGGCTAACAAGGGCACCCTGTGCAAATCCACATTACCGCTACTGAAACTCCGAAGTCTTGAATCCCTATGTTGCACTCAGAGCTGAAAGGAATAAATAAGTGTGTATTAAGGTGACCTTTGTTCGCTTCAAACCAGATTTATTCATATATCACTCCCCGTTAGTTATTGTTGGAACTAAATAGTAATTACAATAAGTTGCATATTAACTCGACAGGTGTATGTTCGTTCCTTCTGTAGACGTTTTATGCGTGACCTAAATCATAAACGACCTGGTATAGTCGAGACTTAGCAGACTTCGGCCTGTCTTCGGAAATGCTCTCATGTAGTAAAGCGATCGTAGCTCGTGCCTGGTAAGTCCTATTCACTGTTCGTCACAAAATAAAAGGGTGAATCCAGACATCTAGCGCTTACGAGTGGACTGGTGGACATGGCGGTCTACTGAGGAGAGCTGGAGAAGCGTGATTGCGAGCCAATCCTGCATATGGCCTCCAGAATCCGAATGGATCGACTGGCTTTTGAACCTGTATGGGTCACCAGGAAGCATGAAAACAGGGTTGCTGACGCTGCCCCACTGTCTTGTGTACCAGGCTTTAAGTGAAAACTCAATGGGCTTGAGGTATTCTCCTGATAAAATCGTCTGTTTCGTACTAGGTGTGCATGTAATGTTCCAGCCTTTGCGGGAACTATAAGATTTCGTGAGGCACATCTCTAGGTGCCTATAATGTACCAATTTTGTGTTACAATAATTGATACTATTAGTATGGATGAGGGGAATTCGATTTTCAACTAATAACTGGGAAATCTGAGTGTTTAGCACTTATTTCAATGTTATCACTTTTGATTTCATGTGAACTGGTAACTGAAGAATAATGTGTCTTGTATCCCGTGCTTTGCAGGGTTGAATGGATTCTATGAGTTAATTTGCAATATGCTCATCAGTCTAGGTGACTCTCCATCTAATGCACTTCTTGAATTGAAGTTAGTTCGTTAAAGATAGTCAGGCGAAAGCCGTGGATCTAGTTTTCGTGGTGTTCGTCACTCGTCAGCAAGGCGCATTTGCAAGGCTTGAAGGGATTGATTTTGCTTCAGGGATTCGTGACCAAGTTGTAAAAGTTGACTGATGGAATTCAGTCTGTATCATAAAATAATAGACGCATGTCTTATTGATGTAAGTATAAAACTTGGGCACTGAGGTAGAGTATAACTCTATTATGGATAAGATTTTGATAAATCACAGTGTTGTACAGTAATATTAACTGATGACGTTTCGAGCACAAAATATTGCTCATAATCATATCGTATCGCATCATTTCAAACTTGATATGATTATGAGCAATAGTTTGTGCTCGAAACGTCATCAGTTAATATAACTGTACAACATTGTGTGTGATTTATCAAAATAAAATCTTATCCATAATGGAGATAGACGCATGTCAGTAGCTACACTTCCGTGACTAATCAACATGACCGTTATACTGTTGTAGTAAGTCAATCATAAGCTGCAGCACTGGATGAAATGGGTTCAAATCTCAGGGGTATATCAATTGTCTTCAGGTAGGAAATGTGCCTTGCTGACGAGTTCTGATAGGCAGAAAACATAAGCCCATGGCCTCCTGTCAGTTGCCTACAGATGTCTAACAACTTGAATTTCAATGTCTTTCAACTGGAAGGTCTGTTTTACAACACCTTTAATAAGCCATCTAGCTTAATTAAGTTACTGTGATAAGAAATGTAAGGGAAAATGATTCTTTCAAGGCGTATCTCTTAATGGTCCCTTAGTTGACCTACAAAGACAGTATGCGGTTGCATTTGAAATTCACTATATTGTGATCATTTTTTGTTTGAATTGTAACTGGGCAATGGACTGCTGCAGAGTAGGTCAGGATGTATCGAGGTTGTGGTCAGCCTTTTCCCCTCTCCTTTCCTCAGAGTAGGGAAGCAGTGTAGCCGGTTGGCTGGTTGTCCGATGGCGGACCTTATCGTTTTTGTATTCCCATTGGTCAGCAGTACGACTTGACCTTCAGATTTCATCGAGTAGTGTAAACGACTTACATAGTGATGGTGACAGATTAGTCGAACAGCTGTCCAAACAACCTTCCTGGCATATTAGGATCTATAGAAACATTGGTTACAGTCAGTGTATTATTTTGTTGGGTGGCTGCGATATGCAAGCTCGTTCACCGCTTTAAGGTAGCAACTCTCCGTCGATCTGATGGTTGTATGTTTCCCGTATTCATTCAGCATTATTCGTATATAGGCTAGATGAAATAAACCAATTGGTTTTCGTTTTCTCCACCTTTTGTTATATAGTCAACTGAATGAATGTCTAACTGCTCCACTTGTTGATCGACTTGAAGAATGGAAACGTACAGTGGCTCAGTTAGATAGAGAAAATGGTAAAGAATGGCGTCGTGCTAAAAGTGAACTACAAAGAGCGACATGTGAACTTGAGAAGCTTTCAAAGAGATCACGTCGAAAGGTTGGTACAAGCAAAAGTAATAAAATTAATATTTCTTCATTTTCAACGTAATGTACTTGGTTTCTGTTTGGTTTATAAATTCACAGTTGGCTTGTATGTTTATTGGTTGAATTGAAAGAATTGGTTCAACTGAACCCTATCATTTTTCCATGAAGTTTTTGGCTGTTGGTTTGACCCAGCTACGTAGGACGGTTGTAGGCTGACTGGTTGGGATACTCACGGAGCTAATAACCAGTAACTTGAGGTTATTGGTGACAGAGCACAGAATCGTTTTCAATGGTACAGATACATTCACTTGTTGTGGCCTCTCTCTCTCTCATATTCATTAAACGCCTTTTCTGTGCTCCTCTTCTTTTTCTCAAGTGTTTTTTTCCATAGTGGTTCTTTTGAATGTTTTTTTCTTTAGTTTTTCTGCCTTTGGGTTTTAAAGTTGTATTGTGTAGTATGAATGGAAATGCGAATATTGTGGTGACCGGTCAAGTGTCTGAATCTTATCTACATTCCTCATTCATCTGGCGAAATGTGTGTAGGCTAGTTTTGTTGTAACTTAAGTGTAGCTGGTGGTCTTCGATTGTTCGACACTCTAATAACCTTTAAAACCGTCAGGATTTAAACCATGATTTCAGTGATTTTTCAGAGTACACTGATGCAATTTTTTGGTGGTTTGGCCCTTGACTTCTTAGAATCCAGTTACTCGTGACAAATTTTCCACGTACTAGGCTATTAGGTACACGTGTTATTTAGAGGTGTATGATACAACGTAGAAGCTCAGGCCAGGAGTAGCTACAGCAAGATTCGAACTCATTGCCACCTGGCTAACAGTCGAGTCGAATTTTCAAGAATCGACAGAAGTCAGGATTTAGAAGCCAGCCGTCCCATTCCATCTCAGTGGCCTAATTGTCAACAGGTTCGCGTCGTAATCTGTCGGTCCTGGGTTCGATCCTCAAGTCGAGTCATGCTGAATAATTCCAAAATGGGACGAAACACCCGGTGTCCAGCACCCTTTCGGTTTCACACTAGTTGGCTTAGTTTTTTCTTCCGAGAGAGAGAATGCTATTGATGATTAACAACTCTGCTTACCTATTGATTGCCATATTATTTAGTCCCCTTGGGTTTTGTGTTGAACAAGTAACACTTCAGCAGTGAATCTTCATTTCACCATGTTCTCTGCACTATGGTTTTAGCTTCCTCCAAGTTTGCCCGTAAGCTTTTATTGCCTTCTCACACAATATCCTCCATGTTACCTTCGGAACGACGCCCAACTCGTTGTTCTGACACTATAATATATGGCAATATTTATGTGGGATAGGGTTAGTAGTCGAAGTGATTAAAACCTTGGTTACATTGACATTGGGAATATTTCTTTCCCGTAGTAGCAAGTTTAAAACAAGCAAGAATTATGAAAAAAGCAGTATTTAATGAATTCATGACTTTTAGTTGAGGGACTCGTCAGTTGAATACTCCTACAAGTGCTTTTTAGGTTAAATGCATACAAACACATGAACATTGTGAAAACAAATAAGTATCATAAGTACATAATAAACTATAAACTGGAGTTATTGTGATAAAAACAATGCAAGGAAACTTCGTTAAATAAATAGAATATATGTAAATCGTTTAGGACTAAATAATATTTTCAAGAAATGGTTTGCAGGGATTATATATGTTTCGGATAAGACCACGGATTGATATCAGTTAGAGAGCAGGGAGCACTGGAAAGCTGTTTCATCAGCCTGATTTGGGACTCATCGGCAGTACTGGCTACAGGTCTAAGTTGCCTGAAGTGATTTCTAGTGAGAAATTGTAACCAGTGGGGTCTATCCAGTCGGAAGTGAGGATCGAGTTCCCGTCGATGACATTGGGGGTTGGTGGTCGCGCTAAAATCCCGATATCAGTAGAAGTTAGAATTCATGGGCTGGCCATTGAATCGGGTCCCAATGGGTGGTGAATGGTTTACAAGTCTGGTTTGTAATCTGGAGGTCCTGGGTTCGAACCCTGGCGGTGGTTACGTACTGCTGGTGGATCCCAAACTAGGCTGATGAAATAGCTGTCCAGTCCTCCAGTGCTGGTTTTCAATGGTTGTCTAACTGATATCAACCCGTGGTCTTACCTGAAATTAAATAATATCTCTGATCTAAACTCATAAGATAGTTTGAACGAAGATTATATTACTCAACTATGCTACCAAGGTAGAATTAAAATAACTAACTACTGTGTACATATTGTATACATAGATCTGGCTTGTCTAATCCGATTGCGTAAGCTTCAGCAAAACCAAGAGCTGTTTTGTTACCTTGCTTATTAATAAATATAAAGCTTTTACTCAACGTCATCATACAGTCACAGCTCAATAAATGTCACATGATTGAGTTCCTTGGGATTTCATCATGAATACTAGAAGGTCATTTAGTGCAGTGTTTAGCAACACAAACTAACAAACATCTCCCCATATGCCTAATGTATTTGCTTTCATATAAACACATGTAAACTGTGATATACACACATTTTGACATGGCAAGGATCGATGTCTTATCTTTCCCTGTTACTTGTAATATCCCCATTGTTGTGTATTTATAAAGCAACATATCAGCTGCATAATATGCTTGTTTAATTGCTTTTTCCAAACATCGTTTCACCAATTGAGTGACGTTAATATCTCCCTTGAAAGGTAAATGCATCTAAGAAACAATCTCTGTTATTACTTTTCCTGTTTATTATCTTTTGTATCTTCATTTATAAATCTTTCTCAGTAGACATTTCTCACTAGTATCTCCTTGTAGAATTTCTCTTCCTCATTTAGTCTTCTACTTGAGCATAGTCTTCTCGCTTTATCAGATAATTTTCTATTGGACTAGGACACACGTGTAGCTATTAAAATGTACGAATTATATACACCTGTCTAACTGGATTGGTGTCAACATAGAATTTTGTACAAATGTGCAGCAGTTCGAATTGTTACACTCCTTGTTGTAACACACACGCACACAGAGAGGAAGACAAAAGAGAGGAATAAAACGATTCAAAAGAAGTATAGTAAGCATGTCGACCATGCACATGGTCCGGGGTTCGATCCCCGACCGACGCACCCCTTTACCTCTCTAAGCCAGAAATAATGCTGGTAAAGAGTTAAGGTTGGGCATGTGGCTAGCAACCCCTTCCTGCAAAATAAACACTGCTAAAGAAACTTCAAGCCACTAGCTTGAAGCCCTATGTTCCACTGGGGAACGTGAAGGAAAAAAAAATAGTAAGCAGAAATGTGAGGAAGAAAGAATGGTAACAAGTGAATGATTTTAAGCTATAACACCAAATTGCCTCCAGCTTTCATTGGTTTTTATCATCCTGAGGACTCAAACCAGGCAGTCTACACATTTTTATGAGGCTTAAACTAACTGTCAAGTATTGGTTTTGTAAGGATTTTGTTTGATTGCATGGAAGATTTCATCATGAGCTGACATCAGTTAGAGAACCACTGGATAGACGGGGAGTACTGGACAGCTGTTTCATCAGCCTAGTTTGGGACTCTTCATCAGTACTCACCCACCGCCAGAGTTGGAACCCAGGACCCTCTGGTTACAAGGCGAGCTTGTAGACCATTGGGCTACTGGCACCCTATCCAACTAACTGTGTTGTGGATTTCATTGTCTGATGAAGTCGTGTTTTCGTTTGACCACCACCATCTAACTCTTTTCCAACCTGATCCATCCTGTGTCAGCGGTAGTTAAGCATGTGTAACACATATTCTCACCATCTCAATCGATGTAGCTTCACAACCTCACCGATTAACTTTGCCTATTTATCTAATCTCAATATTGATCATTTCATTATACCACCTACCATGGAAGATAGAATGCAGAGACAGACATCTATGATCAAAGATAACTAACCTTTTCATAGCTTCTACTTCCTGTATCTCTGTTTCACAGTAATAAAGGAGGATGGAGTGAACTGGTACTCAGTACACGTCCTTCTTTGAGAGGTCGTTAGCTGCCTGTCACAACTACACTAGAGATAATGTAAGTTGGTATCTGCTACACGATTCTTTTGTATGCGTGTTGATATTTCGTCAGTGATCAATCCGTTTATCTTTCTACAATCCCATCAGTCTGCTTTTTTTCGGCAGATTCCATATCCAAGAAGTGTATAGTCAGCCGCATTTTCTTCATATTCCGTTGATGAGTTCAACTGAAGTTTTTATAAATTCATTATAAATACTGGGGTTTTCTTTTCAATATTGATATTCCACCTCTCCCTCTCTCTCTTTCTGTCTTTCACACTGTATCGATTAGTTTGTGATTATACTTTCAATTTTTTTCAGTTTAGCTTTTCCTTGAGGTATATGTGTAAAAAGTGTGTGTGTGAGAGAGAGAGAAAAGCAATATATATATATATATATATATATATATATATATATTTCTAGTTCTGAAAAAAAGACGTACTCGTAATGTGTCTACATTATATGTTTGTATAATGTTCATCATTTTCATTCATTTTGGCCATCTACACACTTACCTTTTCAAGGTATATATATATATATGTACAGAAAGCACCTTTCAACCTTTATAAGGATATAGATTTATGTATGCGTGCGTGCTTACGAACGTGTGAGTGTGTGTGGGGGGATGGTAGTGTGTATTCCCGTAGACTGACTAATGTCTACTGGTGTTGTCTACCCTTTCGGATATAATTACATTTTGGATTCCAGAGTTTTCGGGAGTTTTCGCAATGCACATCTCTCTCTGTGTGTTTGTGTGTTTAATCCATACATATGTATATGAGGGTGGGTGCGTACATGTGTGATTTTTCGATTATTATTTGACTTTATCAGAGGAAATAGAAGCACTTATTTAAAAAAGTATATCTAATGTGCTACGGTAATTCAGTGAGCGCGCCGCTCTGTGTGTGCGTGCGTGCGTGTGTTTGTCTATGTATACACAGATGCATATATGTGTTTGTGCTTGTGACTAAGAATTAGTATCTCAGCCGCTTCTTTGACTGTAGGT